ACTAACATGCACCACACACATTTAAACACAACATATACTTCGTAGCTCGACAGCAATTGCCCGGAGATCCTGACTACTACTATTTGAGCTACAACACCACTACACATCCAGCTAGTCCTCCATAATTTTAAGACTTAGGTGTTTGTGGTAAATAAAAAAATTGAGTTGGTGTCTGGGTGTGTGTATTATTACATTATACACCGTAAATACTAGAATTTAAACCAGGCAAACCCATATGTATCACATTTCATTTTCATTCAATTAGCTTCCTTCAAATTTTAAGAAATGTTTTCTAAAAACTTCTACTTAAATTTAAATTATCTTTAAAGTAAACAGAATTACTCCTATTTCTCAATTCTAACTCTCTACCATTTTACTGATGCAATATAATCATCCCTCAGTTGAAAAAAAATAAGTACAGCTCTTGTATCTTATTTGACCTCGCACAAGAATTCGAAAAATAACAGGATGAGTTTCTTTAGAAATTATAAATCAATTTTTCAACATCTCTTTGTTTGATACTAAAATATTACCTTGACTATCCTTCTTTCCGAATAAATATAACTCCTTTTTGACCCAATTTAATATAAAACCTGGTGTTATCTAAGGTAACTAATATCATTTTATCTAATTTTCATTGTAGATATTCATTGCATCAACATTATTCTTCACTATCCAGAATAATTTTACCGATAACATATAAGTATCTTGATATTTGACTCTGATTCTACAATAGCAAGTTTCTAAATATAATTACACATCAAATTAATTAAGAATTGGCTTGTATTATATATTTCTAATTAACCTTAATAAATGTAGCCACACTATTTTCTCCTTTTATTCTAAGAACTGTCCACTATTAAAATACAACCAATTACTAACCCAAAATAAGTATTGAATTTTCATTTTTGATACAAACTTAACATGAAAAGACAATGTATTCAATAAAAAAAAAAAAAAAAAAATTAAACACTAATTTATATTTACTCCGATATCATAAAATCCGAATTAAATCTCAAGCTCAAAATTCTAACCTCATAACTTATGAGACATAACTCATAACTATAACACGTAATGCTTATGAGTCATAAGCATTACGTGTTATAGTATTAAAGTATTTAAATTTAGAGTAATACTGCTCCGACTAACATGCAAAACATTTATTTTACAATCTATATATTTATGCTCAATAACAAAATCTTCCTGGTTTGTTAGTAACAAAACCTTTCATTCTGATAAGCAAATCAAATAAGCAAACCAGAACACAAAAATGTTTTATCAAAGACCATATAACAAATTTAGCTCCTACACTAATCCCAATATGATTCACTTTATTTCATATCATTACTCAGACAACGCGACCTGAATATATGTGGAATAGGGACCTTTTCTACATTAAATTTCTCTTTGAACTCAAAACTAAGTACAAGTAGTTCCATTAGGAGCCCTCCAAAATCAAATAAATAATTGTTTTCATATTATCATTTTTAACCATCTTTGTACGTATTATTCGCTATTCATGTTTGCATGGTTTTTGAATTTTATATAAAAAATAAACTGCTAAAAAAAATCAAATTACTCGGAAATATTTGAATAAAAATACTGTGGAAAATAACCCAAGTTTTTTATTTATTACGGAAAAAATCTTAATATTCTATTGTTTGAGAGCAAGATCGAGATCTTGGCATCTCATAACATATTTAGTACAAGGACAAACGGTCGCGAACCAAACATTATTGAAAATGGACTAAATCGCGATTCCCGATTAGAACGTCCAGTCGGAGTTTTTGCACTTGTTACCGCATTTCAAATCAAACCGAAAACTTCTCTTGATCATTGAACTTTAACGACGCAGTGACGTGTATTTTACAAAAATTGCTTTACGCAGTCTCGAAGACACTACGTTTTGTTCTAATATTAATAATGTACAGCGATGCGTATGCGTTTACCGATTCGCTTGCGCGCAGTTGTATTCCGCAGGGAAAACTCGACAGATATGACGCGTTAATTCTAGTTTTCGACGGCGGGGCAAGAAAAAAAAAAAAAAATCATCGGTCCCGTTCAATCGATTTCCCGACCCGCTGTCGACACGAATTCAATTGCATACACGGGGCTCATCCGCAGACGCGCAACGAATGGTCTTTTGGAATTCGGTAAAAAATAAAAAAAATCGTTATAACGTCGTAGTTGAATACAACACGCATACACGTGCAGAGTCCTAGGAACGATGACGTGTAATCGATTTCGATTCATCCAAATCCCGGACACAGGGTTAACAGTGTTATTATTATTATTATTATTATTATTCGCAAGAGTCGAAACGAAATGACATATGATTACCGATGCCGCTACCGCCGCCGTCGCCGAACCGTACAAAACTGACTTTCAATTTAATTGTTTAATCGTTTCGCGTGTAGAAACTAATTGTGATTAAATTACCTGTCGTTTGGATTTAATGAAAAACGAAAAGGGAAACCTGCTGACTATTGTTGTAGTTAAACCTTAAACAAAAGCGATGGAAATCATTTCGGCGCACCGTAATATTTTAACGCGCAGAACGTTATTATTGTTATTAACATTTTTAATGCATTTTCAACGGAGGGGAAAAAAATGTTCAGCAAAAACCTACGCATTTCGCGCGATAACCTTAAAACACCAAAATCACGGAAAATCACACACAGCATTGTTATTACTGGCACACGGAAGTCTGTAAAATATGTAAACACCGGTACACATCATATTAGTGTGCGACTGTATCGAAAGCAACCGTTTTGATCATCGCGTGATGAAGGTTATGTCACAGAATAAACCAAATTTACTAATACTTTATCTACATTGTGATACCGATCGGAATGTTTTTACTGTAGTATAATATCGGATAGGGTTTAATAAACAGTATTGGTGGCGCGGTTAAGTGAAAAATCTTGCGATGCTTTTCATTTTATTATCTATCTGTGGACTGTGAGAATTTTTTTCAAGACGCGGAACTCATAAATCCTATACGAATTCCATTAAATTTCTCTCAATCCGAAAATAACATATATACGTATATATCAGTCGATCTAGTCGACTCGTGAACTTTAGATAACTGATTCGACTAGATTTTTTTTTTTTTCACCCCTTTCATATTCGATTTCTCGTGTCGACACAAACGTGTATAGGAACGTTAAATGTGGCGTGTACCGCGACGTTGTACGAGGTTCCCTCCCCCGTAGATTTAGTCGTCTTTAAACGTTGAAATCTTCTCGGTTGTTACCGTCGCACCGAAACATCAAAATTAGATTACACCGTTGTAAGCAACCTCTCAACGCACCGTATACCCACGCCTCGTTATTCGGCTACGTCGCGTCCGATACGGTTGTCGCCATCGCGACGACGACGACGACGACGACGACGACGACGACGTGTCGCGCTCGTCTCGTTAGACTGTGAAATATCGTGTCTTAAAAAAAAAAAATCGTCCGACTATTCGTCATCGGCTGACAGTGCACACATCCCCTATTACCACTTATGCGCACACACGCGCACGCGTACGTTATATCTATTTGTGTTCTGCGAGTTACGTTATATACATTGCATTTACATTATGTGCATACCGTGTTGTACATAAAATAACGATTTCGCATCGCAACTCCGTCCCGTTCGTTTCGCTCGCGAAAATCGCGGAATGACTTAGCACATATACTCGCCGTATTGCACCCACCGACCGTCGGCGTTACTTGTGCGCGCGGTATACACACACTCGTGCGGACGGGAATGCGTATTCCTCTACGACCTCGAAAAATAAAAGCGCACCGTAATGGCAAGTTGTTTCGCCGAACAACAACAACAACAACAATAATAATAATACATAACCATATACCATATGTACGTATTATACGGTTTATTGTTATGTGATCCCGCGCGGTGTGTGCGAACACGACACGCGCACGCGCCCGCGAACAACATGTACGAAGAAAGATTTGCGTACAAATTTGCTCTCACGGACGTCTCGGATGCGCGACTTCGGTACCGTTTCACGGTCCACGTATTACGTTGATACATGTACAAATGTGCGGACACATACTAAAAATAATAATGTAGGCGATTCTCTACGTTATTGAAATATAGTCGACGGTAAATCGTTCGCTGTAGTCCGGGAGTGCATACACGGGAGATATACGGGCGGGGGTGGGTCTAGAACTCGAATTGGTGGAGGGGACAATCTTTTCGAAAGGACAAAAACATAATACACGATTACAAAATAATCAAAGAAAATTATTAATTAAAATTAAATAACAGAGCTTAACTTTCTTTGTTTTATTTTTCCATATTTAGAAATAATATTTTCAACATTTATGGGGTATATTTGTGAATATTGAGCAAAGCGAGACCGGCGAAACGTTCCTCTCCCATGTTCCCGTTTCCGCAGATTTACTATTATATTTATATTTATTCGCCATTAATATTATAGTCTATCAGTAAGTTTATGATCATTATTAATATTCTTAGAAGTTGGATGGAAATTATGATTTTATCAACAAGTTATGATGTAGTTTAAATGTATATAAACATAATATGTTGTACAACGTTTTTATTGCAAGAAAAAAATCTAATTAAAAAAAAATTAAAAACGCAATTTATGCATATTTTAATTTTTTAATAAACACGAATGACCTAATCTTGATGTTTTTCTGGGAGGGAGAAGGGTCATGACCACCATGCCTCCCCTAGATCTACGCCTGTATACATAGTGTGCGCAAGAGTGCGAGTAGGCGAGTATACGTACTTACGTTTTACCTACCGACTTTTCGGTGGACAACAGCTTCGACAACAAAATAACAACACGGTTATAATGATTATTGTAATAAAAACATGGAAATACGCTTATGTAATAGTTAACGTAAATCACGTCTGATATGTAATATCACATGTGATATCACACGAAATCACGCATAGTTCCATAGTAAAGTATATTATAAAAGTATACATAATTTATGTTATGACAACAGTAACATAAATGACACAAAAAAAAATGTATATTATATTGAAAACAATACGCATATTATGTTATAAGAGATATTTTTAAAATAACGCTGGAGTGGTTTTTAGTGTATATTGGTGTTATCAGTTAGTGTATGTACGTGTGTGTATATTGTGTGTATGTGTGTGTGTGTTGTGTGTTGTATTTGTGTGTATACGTAGGAGTGTCTGTATGTGGCTCGGGTTCAGACAAATATGACGAATCCTTTTTCGAACTGTTATCCTTGTTAATGTCACGTGCTGCTTATATTATTTATATAGTGTTGTTGATTACGACGTGTTAAGCAAGACGGATGCCTTTGCTGTTGGGGCACTCAGCGTTTACTTTCACTGTAAGTTCTGCAACACAAATAAGCGCACAAGATCAATATTTAAGTATGTAAGTATACGTATATGTATACACAAAGCACACGCACGTAAGCAAATATAAACATTTTATCGACCGCCACCTTGCAAAAGGACCACAATGCAATACGAGGATTCGACGCGTAATTGATAACGATAATTAGTATAAAGACGGGTTGGTATTTAGATAACTTCTCGATTCGAGCATAACAACTACTCGTATTTATTTATTTTCCTATCCCTATACTGGTTTTGTTGACTTTAGTTCCTTCGAGTTGAACTTATTATTATTATCATTATCATCGCCAAAAAGTAAAGGTGAAAGGTTTCCTTAATTTTTTTTTTCTTAATCTGACGAGATATTCCAAAACTAAATTGTACCTCGTCTATAGTGTCATAGGCATGGTTCACTACTAAATATATCTGTCTTTTTGACGATTCGAAGACGTCGTAGACAGTCAATTGGCCTCTCTGTCTCTCTTTTTCGATGCAAAAATACACGATAACAATTACAAGCTACAAACCCATTAGTATTAATTATTGGTAACATTAAGTCACGTCTATAAGCTAATCGGTAATTTTTAAACAATTTGTACTCAATAACAGCGATAAATTGCCAATAATAATGCATTATGATCACTGCGTTGTCACTTATTTTGAGTTGTATTGATGTACGTCTATCAGCGTGTAATCTTCGATATCGAATAATCGGTCAGGTTGGATCAGAATCGATAAAAAGAGTGTATGAGAAAAATAAATAATAGTTTATTTGTAGACGGACCATAAAGTTTACTATAGATATATATCTTTAAGCCGTTAAATATAAATTACGTATGAGTGTCGATGATCATTTTTTGATAGTATAATACTTAAATAGTTCATGAAATAATTTACACCAAAATCGAACTCATAAGTACAGTGAAACCTCTATAAGTCGAATTTTCGATTACTCGAAGAAAAGCCTTTGCCCCTGTATTTTAATATATGATATATGCGATATATTTTGCCAATAATTCAAATTTCGCCTACTCGAATTCTTTGATAAGTCGAAGTCATTAGAGTTAGATTTTGGCTAATAACTCGAATGGTGCCATAAGTTACAGACAATTACTGAAATAGTACAATAAGTGTATGTTTATCAAATCTGGGCATTAACGAGTTAATAAGTTAAAAGTAAAGTTAATAAAGCTATAAAACTTGAAATTAACGTATTATTTTTTCATCTATCCCAATTAAGTTGATTTTTATTTTCAAGACCAGAAAATATTTTTGTAAAATACCGCCTTCGATAAAAAGTTCATGGAATTTAGAAAAATATATAAATAAAAATCTCAAAGAATTTTTAAATGAGATTATAAATGAGATTTACATCACGGCATTAATAGGGCTCCCGCCAGTCTGGGGAAAAGTATTCGACCGTCTTAAGACTATTGAGTAAAAATAGCCATGCCATCCATGAATTACATTACCATTATCATGAAAAGTGACCGTAAATCTATATTAAAAAAATAGGTAAATATCATGGGGGGAGGGGTGCAGGAAAAAATTTCGGGAGGAGTTTTGAAAAAAATACGAATAATCACAGTTATTTTGAGAATAATTATTTATTGTATTTATATAAGTTATAAAAATTATAAAGTCAAATTTATCCACTTCGGTATTTTTGCCATAGTATCCAATATATCTTTACACGATACCTTCACGTTTCTGTATATGTTAAATAATGCTAACCCATTTAATCGGTTCTCCGCCGTCTTGTTTCGTAAATAGGTTTTTAATCTATGAAAACAAGAGAATGATCTTTCACTCAAAGTAACTGAAATGGGAAGTGTTGCTCTAATGTGCATAAATCGATGTATAGACTGATATGACGTAAATTCACAAAAGTTTAGAGTATCAATAAGCGTTTTCGGCCTTTTTTCTTCAGGCGTATTTGAACAATGTCTAAAACAATAATATAAATAAGAACAAAGAATATCTAAGATAATAAGAAACAAAGTTACCTGCGCCACATTGTGATATCCGCTTCTAAATCTTCATCAGATCTCTTTATATAATTTGGTCACTCCTTTCTAAACGTTTTGACCGTTACGACTATTTATTCTATAGTCAGTTCACTGCACTATATTGGTAAAATATTTTGTATTTCTCAAAGTGATTTACAATGATTGAGAAATCTGGATTTGAGTTAATCTAATAAGTGGTCTAAAAATAAAATAAAAAAGGATCGATGGTATTACGTTTCGGGAACTTCTTCATAGTTATCACGGTTTTGCTGTCGTCCAACGTGCCGAGGAACTACTAAATGGACATAAACTGTACCGGATATTTCCAAAGCTTTCACAAATATACTATTATATTTTTCTTCTGAATTTTGACGCATATTGTAAATTTCTTCGTACACCTTATTAGCTTAATTTACACAGTGGCACAAATCACAATTTACTTTTTGCAAAAATACGCTATGATTGTTCACTAAGTTAAATATCGTCTTTATTATTGTTAAATCTATAATAAATTGAGAAGTTTGTATTGATATAAATAGAGTATGAGGTTGTACTCCATCAGTTTTAGTACGTAAGTATACTATATTCGTGAACAACTAGCAATTATAAACGAGATTTTTCCGCGATCATCATAATTGAAAACTTTACAGATACGTTCTTATTATACAACAATAATAAAAATAATCAAAAACATTAAATTTCTTCCAAAAATAGTTCTACTTAATTTACTGTTTTATTTATTAATTACATATTTATTTTATTTTAGAATACTTTTTTGGAAATTGTTATACATACATACATACATACATACATACATATATTATACATGGTATAAGAAAATAAATAAAATAATAAAATTGATTCTATGTTGGGATGACTGCACGGGTAAGTTGATAATATTTTACCGAGCACTACTAAGTGTGCTGATCGAGAGTGGTAAACGTACGACTTAGTTGTGGTCTCTTTTTTTTTTTTTTTTTGTCCACTGATAATATGTTTTCATCTCGTATTTCCTACAAAACGTATGTTCAACATTTACGGCATGTTTTGAAATTTTTCATTTTGCGAAGCTTTAAAGTTTCATATTTTGTATTCAAAAATACAGTAGAACATTGATTAAACGTCAGTCTCGGGACCGGAGTTTCGACGAATAATCGAAATGACGGTTAAACGAGCAACAAATATTTTTTTTAAACATATTTATTATTTATTAATTTTTTAATAATTAAGAGATGCACTGTAAAAATTGGTTAATTTTTGTTGTTTTAAATTATTATGTACTTTTTTGGCTGCCATATATCTAATTCTTTGAAGCAGTAATAGCTGAATCGTACAGCTTCAGTTTGTTTTTCGAATCACTGAAAGCATTTGGAAAGCGTTGATTCTGCTTCAGCGGGGGTGATAATTTTTGTGAGTTCTTCAAATTCCTGTTCACTTTCGTCATTTTCTTCTGGACCATTTTCCTTTAATACTTGTTTAATAAGTACGTCGTCACTTATGAAATCAAATCCTGCATTAAGTTTATCTATATCCATCCACTTGGCCACATCGTTAATTTCAATATTTTGTTTCAAGGGTGACGTGTCACACATTTGTTGAATATTTTCATTGTCGATGATGTTATTCTCTCCATCGTTATTATCCTCGTCACTTTTGTGACTACAGTTTATTCCAAGCTTTTTTCAGTGTTACATGAGGTAAATCGTTCCAAGCTTGTGCAATATTAAACACAGTATATTTTATAGTGTAATGTTTCCGAAAATCTTTAACATTCATTTCTTCGCCAAATGTCACAAGATGTTGAATAAATTGTCTTTTATAATGTCTCTTAATTGATTCAATAACCCTCTAATCCATGGGTTTAATCAGGGCTATCGTGTGTGCTGGTAAAAAGTGACACGTTATTTTTCCATTCTCGCTTTGTAATTGAGAATTAGGGGGAATTGTCCATAAATAGTATTGACTCTAAGTAATTCAATTTCTTTCAAATTTACTTTGACTAAGGGAACAATAACATCGTTAAACCAAGAATTAAAAATATCTTGGCTTTTCCAGTCATTTTTTTAAGAATTGTATGGGATTTAAGTAATAAAAATCACTCACAATTTAATTTAATTAAAATAGACACTATATTATATAAATATGTATGTACAAATATCGATACGCGTTACAATTG